CCCCCCCCTCTGCAGGGAAACGGGGGGAGGGGGGGGTGAGATTATTAGATTATGTTATTTATCACCCACTTTCCTCTCATTAACACTGAGGTTTTGCATTGAGTGGGCAGATTAATGAGAGGAACACTGATCTTAACAACTTCTGCATCCTGTCATCAGGGGACGACTGATGTGTCATTCAGCAGTAGGCTTTCAGGAAGTCTCTCTGCCTCCATGTACCAGCTTTAACAGAACAGATCCTTTGGTCTTCACGGAGGATATCGACTTAATACATGATCTTATTTACAACACTGTTGTTGCAGTGCAGTCAGTGCAAATGAAGTCTGCATTAAGTGTAAAGTTATCAGGGTGTGTGCGCATATTTAACCTCTGTAAATCGGCTCTAATTTGGTGTTAACTTCTGCTCAGCGAGGTTTCGCTCCTAGCAGAGCGGGTAACACGTCAACTGGATTAGGGATGCCTTCATATTTTCAGCCAATCCATAGTAGTGACAGGGCACAGGCCAGCTCAGTGCCTCCGAGCAAAAAGACCGTTTGTCACTGCCTGTGTGGCAGCGCGCATAAGCACACACACTAATGCACTTTCAGCAGCTCTCTCACACACGCACGCGCACGCTTGGCCATCTGCCTAACACTGACTAACTATTCATCATCGCCCATGGCGACAACATGCTCCTGTTTTGTCTCTGTGACACATAGCCTACACTCCCACTGTCTCTCTCTCTCTCTCTCTCTCTCTCACACACACACACACGCACACACACACGGGGGAAACATAATATTTATAATATTTTAATAGGAGGCATATGTTTGGTTTTAGTAGTAATAATTCATTTTAATTAGTTAACATTTTTAAAAACACAGTGATCAAGATTTTTCAGATGAAAACATACATATAAATTAAGCAATAAGAAAATAAGTTCAAGCATTAGCTTCAAATTATATGTGGGACCGAGCTCAAACACACAAATAATTTTTATAGCATGATTAAGCTAATGTTTGATTTTGGTAATAACACAATATATTTATATGACACTTTCCAAAGCAGTTTTAGAAAGTGTTTTACTGATGTTAGAGCAAATAAAAATGATAGAGCACACACAGTAAATATCTGCAGTAAAATAATGTCAGCATCAAACACACTAACAGAAAACTACAAATAGTGCTAAGACCTGACTAACAGTATATTATTTATACTGAGTATTGTGGCATGAATGTGTTTGTGAAGCTGTTGTAAATGTGCTGCATAATATTTGGCACACAGAGCAACCAGTTAGTTGGTGGATCATTCCTGTGCACTTAAAAAGAAAATGCAGCCAATATGAAATATCACTTTAAGGAGTTTCATAACCAGTGTAGTTCTAATGAGTCATCTTCCTTTAAGGGAAAAAATCTGATTAGCACCATCCTTAGAGACTATAAACTTAGTCCACACACAAACATGTTTGAAGAAATGCTCGCACTTTTGAGTTTCCCT